AAAAAAAAAAAAAAAAAAAGAATTCTATCAGATGAAAAGGACACAGGCAGAGATTGAAATAGAATGAGTTTAACATGCACAGCATGTTAAGAAGCCTAAAAAAGACAAACATGGGTGAGCATGAAAGTAGACTTTAACAGTGGTGTGTGCAGGATGGATAGGGCACAGAGGCTAGAGAGAGCCTGCTGTTGTGAATATAGGTACTTGTGTAGTTATTTTATCATGGTGACAACTGGAACAGAGATAAAAGGAAGAAATCAGAAAATCTTGGACGTCACTGAAAAATTCACACTAGTAAGTAAGCTACCACCCCTCTCGACTCAGTCCCTTCACTATTGACCCACATAGATTAGACCAGATGACTTCTAAGATCCTTTTGACTCTAAAATTTCCCGATTTGCATAAATAATAATTTAACAGATATAAAAATGCTCTAATATAGAAAGGGAAAAAGCCATACTAGCTCCTCTTACCCAAAAGCTTCCAGACCACTATAGATGCTATTTTTATCTCTGTTCTGATCATTAAGGAAGTCATTCAGCAACATCCGAGCTAGAGATTTCTGAACCAGTTTACAGTATGGTGAATGAAAGATCATGAAGCCAAAATCATTCAAGGTAAAATCTTTATCATTTCCCTCTGAAAGAGAAAAGAGAAATCTAAGAAAACTACGAAATTCTTATAAAGTCATAAACTTTTAAGTTTGAATTTAGAATAAGGCTAGGATGTTTTTTATCTCTTTAAACAGCAACCCAAAATACACTGTATAATAAAATTTCTCTATAGTTTAAACATATAAAAGACATCTAGAGATGAATCTATATAGACTACCACATCACTGATTTTAAAATTTAAGAGTCATAACATATTAGAAGGTTATGTATATTTACTTTAGTGGTTGGACCAGTATTTTTTTAAATAAAGTACAATAAAAAAAGTTAAATAGAGTAGAAAAATAGCAAACTGCATAACTTATAGGATGGATAAGTAATTTCATGCCACTTTCGTTTCAGTTTCGTACACATACACAATGAAAAATGTACATCTTGGTGGCACCTGTAGCTCAAGTGGCTAAGGCACCACACATACACCAGAGCTGTCGGGGTTGAATCCGGCCTGGGCCTGCCAAATAATGACAACTACAACCAAAAAAACAAAATAGCCAGACATTCTGGCAGATGCCTGTACTCCCAGCTACTCAGAAGGCTGAAGCAAGAGAATCACTTAAGCCCAGGATGGAGGTTGCTGTGAGCTGTGATGGCACAGCACTCTACCCAGGGTGATAGCTTGAAGCTATCTCAAAAAAAAAAAAAAAGAAGAAGAAGAATGTACATCTTAATCGTGGGTCTTAATAAAAAATTAGAAAAATCACTTGATAATATATACTAACAATACGACATTTTACATACTGGAAGATTGTTTCTTATCCAGAGCCACTATGTTCCTTAATACTGGTTATTAAATATTATTTTTAACCCTTTCTCACAACCTCTAAAAAGCAAAGTTGGACTACATAAAAAATATATTTTATATGATACCATGTACTGCAATAGCATTAATTCAAATACTATCTTTTTCAACACTTTAAGAATTTTTTCAGAGTTAAAGGCTGAGATTAATAATAATAGTGAAAAGGCAAATAGTAATTTATTGGTCAAATATAAAGAGATTATTGGTAAAGGAGGAATCATCTTATTGTATATTCTTCATAGTTTTCTCTGAATCACAGTTGTAAACTAAACTAAAACCTTGTTAAAATACCTCTCTGAAAAGATGAACAAAATTCAAGCTACTTTTACTCCACTTTGATTTTCTTACATGGGATAAATCAATCTAAGCATTTTTGCAGAGATACACCTCATTTTCAAGTTACCTCTTCTAAATTCCATATCCCCAGAAACCATGGAAAAATGCTGTTTGGTAGATGAGGAAGAAATGGTAAAAGGACACGAATGAAGGATGCCTTTCTCACCAAAGACATCTAGGACAGTGTACTGCCTTTAAGAGAAGCCAAAAACCAAGGAACATTGGTAAAACCCACCTTTCTGCCACTTGGTGTGGATCTTTTTGCAGTAGACAGAATAGCAGCGGTCTAATGCACTGAGGTAGCACTGTATGGAGAGTTTCCCATCTACTATAGGATATTCAGAGAGCATATCAGGCTTGTAAAAGTCATAGGCATGTTGCATATGTGTCCCACGCAGCCCTAGTAGAACCAAAAAGGAAGACGTCTATGTATTTCTTCTGCTTCTTGATGTTTGTAAAATATGTTAGTAAGCATACTGCATTATGCAAGGCCCATTCTTGACTATTTAATCAACTCTCACCCCTTATAGCATAGAAATCTCGTGGTGAAGCCAATATAATTGATTTTTCTTAATGTTTATTTGTTTTCTTAATGCCCAGCATGTCCATAGAAAAAAGCCAATATAATTGAAATGAAACCTAACAGTATCCACAGACAGGCCTGTGACTCTCTGTTGATATAAAACTTTTCATGTAACTTTCATAAGTCTAACTGGGAGTTCAGAGTAGCTCAACTGAACTGAAGACAAATTAAACTTGTCAGTGCCTACAAGCAAGTTACTACATAAGCTGTTACTTAAACCCGATTTTGACCCATTTTATCTCTCTATAATGTAGGGATGACACCACCTACCTTATAAAATTGCTTTAAGTAAGATAATATACATAAAGCACTTAGCAGATAGTGCCTGCCTTTAATGAACACTCAATAAATGTCCTGTTTCTATTTTAAAATTTCTCACTATATTCTGCTACTAAAAAAAAAAAAAATGCTTTCCCAAATACTCACCTCGTTCAAAAATTAAAGGAGCATTTGGCCCAATTAGCATAGCCACGGCTCCAACTCCACCTGTAGGTCTAGCATTTCCAGTGGCATATACAGCAATATCTCCTGCAACCACTAGGGCATACCGTCCTGAAAAATAGTTTTTGTTATTTCACAAGGTGAGCAACACTATAAATAAATGTAAAATTGAAGACTACTATATTTTCCTCAGGATATATTTTCCCTATCTTTGATAAAGAAAGAAAATGTTCTCAGGCTCGGTGCCTGTAGCTCAGCAGCTAGGGTGCCAGCCATGTATACCAGAGGTGGGGGGTTCAAATCCAGCCCAGGCCTGCCAAACAACAATGGCAACTACAACCAAAA